ATAATAACGTTCATCTTTGGTTGATAGGTAGAATCAGTTGATCAAAATAAAAAAGATTTTATTCGACAATATAAAAAGGAATTTTCTCATACAATCTTGTTTCCTAAAATTAATCTTGTAAAGAATAATTCTGTCCTTCTTCTGGCTAAATTTACTGACAAATTCTAACCAGCTTGAAATTGGATCTTGCTTTGCACAGAACCAAGCCAAGAAATAAGCCTATACATGACCCAAAAGCTAGTAATACGCATACATATGATCTCTTTGCCATAACATGTGTAAAATATATGGAAATGTTTTGAGACTAAAATACAGATGGCAAAATTAATTTTATTATGGAATACTAGGTCAACGACTATAGTTGCGCCAATGCTCAAAAGGGCAAAGGGATCTCACTTTTTCATATGATTTATCGTATGATCTTAAGAATGTGAAAGGATACAATGCTAATTTAATTCTGCTTCGGTGGTAATTAATATAAGAGATACAAATCCTAAGATAAAAGTAGATGCCAAGAAAGTTCAATTACGTGTTAGAATCATGCGAACTCGCATCAAACGTCCTATTAACGGATGCACGCTGGACAACAGGCCCAATCTCGAGGCTAGTGAGGCGGTTTTCTGTCTCATTTGAGGTTTCGGGCAAGATGGCCTCTCTCAGACGCCTTGGAGACCAGTCAACAGCCCCAGGTTCATCTTCCTCGGTCATAGGTGACGATGAATCGCAGCGACAATGTGAAAAGGAACCAGGAGTTTTTTGACCAAGTCCAGGAGAACGACGAGGCAGATGACATTCGCCGACTCCCACAACGGCAGTAATAGTTCGCCAAAGACCGAGTGGGCCGGTATCGGAGCTTTTGAGTACCTGTGGGAGAACATGTGCACGCCCATCAGGCGCAATATCGCATTGAGCAGCCGACGTTATGGTTCCAAAGGGAAGGCCGTTAGCAGACAGTGATCCTCTAGATGAGGAGAAAGAGGTAGCACTGGAGATATCTAATTGCGATGAGAATGAATCTGACAGTCCAGAATGCGTAGCCGATGACGGTGGAGCAAAGGTGTCCAAAAGCCACACGAGGTGGATCGCAAACTCTGCGGAATTGGAACATCTGAAAAAACGGAAAGC